TTTTTTTTTTTTTTCAGACAGGGTCTCACTGTGCTGCCTGGGCTAGAGTGCAATGGTGTCATCATAGCTCACTGCAACCTCAAACACCTAAACTCAAGCAATATCCCTGCCTTAGCCTCCAAAGTAGCTGGAACTACTACAGGCGCGTGCCCCCATACACAGCTAATTTTTCAATTTATTTCTGTAGAAAAGGAGTCTCACTGTTATTCAGACTGGTCTTCAATTCCTAGCCTCAACTACCCTCCTGCCTCGACCTCTCAAAGTGGGACATTTACAGGTGTAAGCCACTGCATCCACCTTAAAACACCAGCTTTTATTATCATCACTGTCTTTCTCACAATATAACTGGTATCCACCATGGATTATTATTTTGCAGTTTTTGGCCAGGGTTGGGTTTGAACCCACCACCTCTGGCATATGGTGCTAGCACCCTACTCCTTTGAGCCACAGGCGCTGCCCGATTTTATTAATTAAATAAGCAGATCTATAGTGACAGACCAAATCACCTTACTAAGAAACATCATGCTTCCAAATTAGACAGCTAATAACACAAAGAATGAAAAGAATTAACATGGACTCATACTTCACAAAAATGAACACAAAGGTTTATTTTTTTAACCATTCCTCTTACACCTATACTTTTAAGTCTTTCAGTGTTATTAATTAGAATAGGAGAAGGAAAATAATGTGGCTGAAGAATAAAAATTGTAAAGAAATGACAAAGAGGTGATAAGCGAACTAGGAGTTGATAACATCTATTTGGGAAAGAACTGGAGAAAATAAAAGTATCTACTCAGGATCACCTAGAGAGTATCACAGATAAAACACAAGGAAACAGGACACAAATGAAGACATCTGGTGAGAACTGAGAATCAGATGACAGACAAGAAATCTACCACACTAGTACCAAAAGGAAAAAAAAGCCTCGCGACACGCTGACGTGCTCTGTCGCAGGCAACAGTAATGTGATATTCTGGAAATGTTTATCACCGTTCTCTCAGGACCTCAGTCATCGAAAGACCCAGTTCTCTACTGGGTCTAAAATCATGATGAACATCTCATTATAGTTTGCCAGAGATGAAATCAAAAAGTCAATTTTCACTTTGACTAAGTGGCTCAGAAGTACATCTAGTGAGTACTCCCCAGGTGCCAAAGTACAATGCCACAAAAACTCCGATTTCTGATAGAACAGCCTTGGTTCAGATGTGCAATAAACTTGCTTCAAATTCACAAGAGTGAATTTTTTATTTTTTATTTCTTTTAAAATTTTTTTTGGGGGAACAGAGTATCATTATGTCACCCTCGGTACAGTGCTATGGCGTCATAGCTCACAGCAATCTCAGATTCCTGAGCTCAACCGATTCTCTTGCCTCAGCCTCCTGAGTAGCTGGGACTACTCAGGCGCCCGCCACAACACCCAGCTATTTTTAGAGAGGAGGTCTCACTCTGGTGCTATTTTTAAAAGTTGTGAAAGGAAAAGTGGTTTTCTAGGAATTAAATCACTTCAAATACAACAGGAGAACTTAACAGAAACCCTATAGTTAATTCAATCTCTTAAAGATGTGAATAATCACTCTAATTTATATAAATTTTATAAATTTTTACTTCCATGTACTGTAGTTTATAATTTAAAAATATTAGAAGTAAATATAGTAAAATATAAACAGCAATTATCTTAAGTGATGAGATTTTACATGATTTATGTACTTTGCCATAGGCTGTCTAGATTTTACAAGTTTTCAATAGTTTAGAAAAGTTCTTTTTCTTAATGTAAAAATAAAAGATGTTCACTGTAGAACACCAAGGACATAGCTAAACTGTAAAGAAGAAAATAAAAATTACACTTAAAGTTCATAACCACATACAGTAGATCCCTACCCCAAATAAAGTAATATTAAGTTATCAGCTCCCATATAAATTATGACACTATGAGCAGAATTCTC